TGGCCAACAGTCCAGTCCTTCTTCTCCTTGGCCCAGTTGAGACGCTTCCTACGTTGGCTCAGGCTCAGAAGTGGCTTGACCCGAGGAACCCGACAGTTGTAGCCCATCTCCTGGATGCGTCTGAATGTGGTGGTTTTTGAAGCTGTGACTCCCGCCTCATTCCACTCTTTCTGGATCTCTGCCAGATTCTTGAATCTTCTCTGTTTGATAATCCGCTGAAGCCCACGGTCATTTCTTTTGCTGGTGCATCTTCTCCTGCCACATTTTGCCCTTCCACTAGACTTTCCATTGATATGCTTGGACACAGCACTCTGTGAACAGCCAGCCTCCTTAGCTATGAACTTTTGTGGCTTACCCATCCTATGGAGGGTATCAATGATGGTCTTCTGGCAGTATACTTCACAGTATTCTAATTTTTTGAATTCCTGTTTTCGTGGGTTTTATGAGCTGGAAGCCCAAATTATGTAAAAATAAACAAATAAATACTTGAAATCATTTAAATTGTGGGCCCTGAATCTATAATATATGAAAGTTTAACTTTTTGAATGGAATTATGGAAATGAAACAACTTTTCCATGATATTCTAATTTTTTGGAAAGAATCTGTATTTCTGCCAACCATGAATAAGTTACATTTGTACGTTTCACAGTATCATATCAGTGTTTCTAAAGTGACCCAATTTATAAGCTGAATTAGCCATCAGGAGGTGGAGGGGATGGTGGACGGTGAGTCGAGCTGCAGACCACTGAAGACCATTTTTCAAAACAAACAAATGTCGGTTGTTTAGCACGTCTTAGACTTAAGTCTTCAACTTAGCAAGTTTTTGTGTGTTTCTATCGGCTTTTAGGCTCCAAATGAGGGTGTAGTGACTTATCAGGGTCTTTCCATTTTCCAGTGGAGACAGTGCCACGAAAAGCGGCTGTTATAATGAGACATTGGTGTGTTTCCAGCCGGGATGATGCCACAAAAAGCACGTTTTTTTTTTTATTGGAGCGATGGTGCAGTGGTTAGAATTGTTGTTTCACAGCAAGAGGGTTCTGGGGTTCTGGTTCAAACCCGGGGTGGGGTTTTCCTTTGACACTAGATAAGGGGGAGCCTTTCTGTGCAGAGTTTACATGTTCTCCCAGTGTCAGTGTGGGTTTTCTCCGGGTACTCCGGCTTCCTCCCACAGCCCAAAGACATGCAGGTTAAATGGTGACTCTAAATTGGCCGTAGGTGTGAATGTGAGTGTGAGCAGTTAAGATAAGATACACCTTTATTGATCCCACAATTGAGAAATTCCAGTTATCTGTTTCTATAGCCCCTTTTACACTGCCAGATTTTCCGTGAATGTTGGGCCGTTTTGCTGGCAAGCTGTGAGTGTTTAGACACACAGAGCCGGATTGGCGAGTTGATCCGAGGTGCCCAATTTTCAGCCTCATAGGGTAGACATATTGGAGGAACAATTTTAGTTAAAAAAGAACGAGGAAGACTTCAACCACGGGAGGGGCTGTTGAAGACTTGTGGGAGGAGCTGTTGATGACGCCGCACGTGCGACCCACTGGCGGTGGATAAACAGGAAACAGCTGGTAGCAGGAATTAGCGAGCAGCTAGTAGCAAGAGGGAAACACAAACCTGACAGACACTGTAAAGATGAGCAACTGAGGAGACAAGGAATTGCGCGCCCTCCTTGTCCTCGCAAACGAAGAGGCCATTAACCGTCAGATGACGGGACGGTGAAGAACGGGCTGACTTACAAGACAGTCTCCAAAGGACTGACAGGCCGCGGTTTCCCTCCCACGTCACTGTTTACGTCACATGCTGAGCTACATGTTTTGTTACTTGCTCATGCCTTCCATTGCCTCGAAAAAGGCACATTCTGTATAAACAAAAGTAGGTAGGCAGCATTTTGCCGCACTCCCTGATTTTGTTTTTATACTGCCAATGCTGAAAAAAGACTGATTGGGCTTTCCTGCAAATTTGCACAGTTCCTGTTTAGAGAGGGCTTATATGTCAGCCCTGTGATAGTCTGGCGACCTGTCCATTGGTGTACCCCACCTCTCGCCCAGTGTCAGCTGGGATAGGCACCAGGCACCCCGCCACCCCTAACAGGATAAGCGGTTACTGAAAATGAATGAATGAAACGTAAAGTTTCAACGTATCCAATATTACCGATCGAAGTTATACGAATCTGTGGTTTGCAGAAATGTACAATGCCAACTTTTTTTTTCTGGTGATTGAGTTGTTTAGCTCCACTAGCTGCATGGCTCCAAGGATGGTAATGCTGGTTGGCTGATCTACCACTTTGGTCCAGAGTGAAATATCTGAACTTAATAGATGAATTGCCATTAAATTTGGTACAAATGACTTTGGTGATGCCCTGACCTTCCCTGTGACACCACATTTGTCTTGTGATATTGCTCAACATCTACTGAAAAATTTCCCCCCAAAAATTCATGGTTCCTAGAGGATGAATCCTGCTGACTTTGCTCTAGCGCCACCATGAGGTTCACATTTGTGATTTTTTTGGGAAATGTCTCAACAGACACTGGATGGATTGCCATGAAATTTAGTACAGGCATTCACGTTCATTATTACCATGGCAATTCGTTAACTTTGGTTCATGATGAAATACCAACAAGATTAAATGCATACATTCCCATCAGATGTATTTTGTGTTAGAGCTAATTTCAAAATGTTAGCATGCAAACACACCAAACTAATATGGCGAACATTGTGCCTGGTAAGCATCAGTATGTGTCAGAACTGCTATTTTGAGCATATTAGCGTGCTGATGTTAGCATTTTGCTCAAAGCACCACTATGACTGGAAATATAAAAGATGTAATAATCTACTTACTTTGTTTCTGTCTCCCCTCTTAGTTTAAGGTCTTTGCACAGAGAATTCCAGGCTGCATGTCAATAAAATACAGGTCAGCAACAATAAGTTATCAAATTAAAACATCTAACAAATCTTTTCAAACTGTTTTTTGACTCACGTATCGGTTCGTTCTGCCGGTCCGACAAAGAGTTAACTTCCTGATAGAAGAAGAAATGTAAACACAGTTAAAAGACTATTCTCTTGATACTGTTTTAGTGAAATGGTTTAATGACTGTAAAATATTTACCAGAATTTTGTATGCAGCCTCAGGCTGTTCTTTTGGAGATTTCCGAGGCAGCAGAGGAGGTTGTGGTTTACAGTTTGCATATCTTGGTGGTTCAGCAGCCACCTGAGGAAATGAGAGACAATCCGGTTTCATTAAATGACTAAAAATATAATGCTTTGTGTGGGACCAGTTTTTTTTTTTTTACAGTATCAGTTATCTGACATGGTGGAGGCAGTCTGACAGTTATTTTTATTATTTTAATGCTTGAGTTTCCTCCATCATCTTCTGATTAGGCAAATTTTGCAACAGTAGCCATCAGACATTTTAATATATTTCTAATTTCTAACACAAATCAACAGGATATTGTTCTGCCACATATCCAAGAACTCAATGTGGATGTGATGTTCTACCACTCCACTTGTGTTTAGCAGATCCACTGTTCACATTTACCTAAATACCCTTTCTAAACCTACATGCAGGACTTACACTGTTGACATAATTGCGGTTTTAACGGTTTTAGTGCTTCCATATCAGAATGAATTTGAGAAAGTCTTATGACATTTGCTTACATTTGTTTAACCATACATACAGTACATCATTAAAACACATGTCAACAAGAATATCAAAACTGTTTCTCTCTTTTGTCGTCTCAGTATCATATCATATTTTAAAAACTACCTAGCTGCTTTACTCATGCTGCACCCTTTGGAAACATTAAAGGCTGCTTGTCTACAGGCCCTTTATCAACCTTTGTGAAGAAATTCCAAATTGTTTGGAGTCATTTTGTGACTCTGAGGTATATTTGTACCTTTTTTGATTGTTTTGTGTTTCTTTGTATTCGTTTTGAGTCTCTGAGGTATATCTATACCTTTTTTGGTTGTTTTATGAGTCTTTGAGGTATATTTGTACCTTTTTGGATATTTTGTGAGTCTTAGATGTATATTTATGTTTTTGGTTGTTTTGTGAGTCTTAGATCTATATTTATATGTTTTTGGTCGGTCTTTGAGGTATATCTATACCTTTTTTGGTTATTTTGTATTTCTTTGTATTCGTTTGGAGTCTTTGAGGTGTGTCTGTACTAGGGATAGACCGATATGGATTTTTTAGGGCCGATGCAGATACCGATTTTTTTCCATCACCCTTAGCCGATGACCGATTATGGACTGCTGATTTTCTTGAGCCGATACTGCTTTTGCTCCCTCAATTTACATCAAAAAAATGACACAATGATAACAGATATTACAGGTCTCAAGTTTAAAATAAGAAACATTTATTGAACAGTAAAAAATACTAAAACAAGATGGAAAGTTGAGGTAGAACAGGTAGAATATTATTATTATTATTATTATTATTATACATTCAAATAAAAAAAAAGAGTTCAGTGCTCTTAAATCTTCCAGTAATGTCTTTATAAAATAAACAAATATTTAAGCTGAAGCATAAATAAAACAACAACTACTGTACACAGTAGGATTCGCTGCATGTGCGCTGCAGGGTCTTCCGGCAACACAGAGCTGCCTGTGGATGCCTGTCTGTAAATCATGCCAGGGAAAAATCAATCCGCGAACCCACGCGCGTATCGGCCGATGCCGATACAAGTAAAAAACTCAAATATTGGCCCTATATATCGGCCGGCCGATGTATCGGTCTATCCTTAGTCTGTACCTTTATTGGGTATTTTGTGAGTCTTTGAGGTATATTTGTACCTTTTTGGTCGTTTTGTGTTTCTTTGTAGTCGTTTTGTGAGTCTTTGAGGTATATTTGTACCTTTTTTGGTCGTTTTGTGATTCTTTGAGATATATCGATACCTTTTTTGGTTGTTTTGTGTTTCTTTGTAGTCGTTTTGTGAGTCTTTGAGGTATATTTATACCTTTTTTGGTTGTTTTGTATTTCTTTGTAGTTGTTTTGTGAGTCTTTGAGGTATATTTGTACCTTTTTGGTGGTTTTGTGATTCTTTGAGATATATCTATACCTTTTTTGGTTGTTTTGTGTTTCTTTGTAGTTGTTTGATGAGTCTTTGAGGTATATTTGTACCTTTTTTGATTGTTTTGTGTTTCTTTATAGTCGTTTTGAGTCTTTGAGGTATGTCTGTACCTTTTTGGTTGTTTTGTGTTTCTTTGTAGTCATTTTGAGTCTTTGAGGTATATTTATACCGTTTTTGGTCGTTTTGTGTTTCTTTGTAGTTGTTTTATGAGTCTTTGAGGTATATTTGTACCTTTTTTGGTTGTTTTGTGTTTCTTTGGAGTCGATTTGATTCTTTGAGGTGTATTTGTACCTTTTTGGTCATTTTGTGATTCTTTGAGATATATCTATACCTTTTTTGGTTGTTTTGTGTTTCTTCATAGTCATTTTGAGTCTTTGAGGTATATTTGTACCTTTTTTGGTTGTTTTGTGTTTCTTTGTAGTTGTTTTATGAGTCTTTGAGGTATATTTGTACCTTTTTTTGGTTGTTTTGTGTTTCTTTGGAGTCGATTTGATTCTTTGAGGTGTATTTGTACCTTTTTGGTCGTTTTGTGAGTCTTTGAGATATATTTATACCTTTTTTGGTTGTTTTGTGTTTCTTTGTAGTTGTTTTATGAGTCTTTGAGGTATATTTGTACCTTTTTTGGTTGTTTTGTGTTTCTTTGTAGTCGTTTTGAGTCTTTGAGGTATGTCTGTACCTTTTTGGTCATTTTGTGACTCTTTGAGGTATATTTATACCTTTTTGATTGTTTTGTATTTCTTTGTAGTTGTTTTATGAGTATTTGAGGTATATTTGTACCTTTTTGGTCGTTTTGTGAGTCTTAGATGTATATTTATATGTTTTTGGTCCTTTTGTGAGGTATATCTATACCTTTTTTGGTTGTTTTGTATTTCTTTGTATTCGTTTTGAGTCTTTGAGGTATGTCTGTACCTTTTTTGGATATTTTGTGAGTCTTTGAGGTATATTTGTACCTTTTTTGATCGTTTTGTGTTTCTTTGTAGTCGTTTTATGAGTCTTTGAGATATATTTGTACCTTTTTGGTCGTTTTGTGTTTCTTTGTAGTTGTTTTATGAGTCTTTGAGGTATATTTGTACCTTTTTGGTCATTTTGTGAGTTTTAGATGTATATTTATATGTTTTTGGTCGTTTTGTGAGTCTTTGAGGTGTATTTATTCCTTTTTTGGTTGTTTTGTGTTTCTTTGTAGTCGTTTTGTGAGTCTTTGAGGTATATTTATATGCTTTTTGGTCATTTTGTGTCGTTGTGAGTCCCTTTGTTGTCCCTTTGCGTGTCTTTGTAGTTGTTATGTGTCTCTGAGTAGTTCCTTTGTATCTGTTTGTGGTCTTTTTTCTCTTTGAGGTTCATATATGTTAGTTTGAGTGCCATGTGCCAGGTGACCAGGGGGGCCCAAATCCCAGACATTCCTGATGACTGTTGGCAACATGGATGGACCAGGAACGTGTGGGATTTGGGGTCACTTGTGGGCAATTTGACAATATTAGTTTGTCACTGACTTTTCTGAGTACATAAGTAGATCATGCTATCTTTCAAATAAAGCATTAAAACAACGTTACCTTTACTATTTCCAGAGTGCCATTTACAGAGTCATATCCTCCTGAACTCCTTTTGACAGTCCACCTCTTTGGTGACACTGGTGGAGGAGTTTGGCAGACCAAACCTTCCTGAGATCAAATGGAAATAAACACTCTACATTACAAGAGTCTCTGACAGAGTCTTAATGTGGGATTTATATACAAAGTACTATTCTTGTTACTGCTGTCTAATGTGTGTGACACTTAATTAGACATCTGTTTGAATCTGTGATGTATAGAAGTTGTATGGACGTGTATGTAAGGAGCACAGATGCATACAGCACAAATTCAGTGATATGCCATTAGTCTTACATTACAATACAGATACCAAATGTTGTATCTCATCCAGAAATATTGGACCAATAAAAGACTTTTAGAATTTGACCACAGAATATGATGAACCCTGGTTTAAGACTGTGCTCTGCAGATTTGATCTAATTGCAGAGTAAAATAAAACAGTTCTGAATGTGTACAGTACTGAGCACCAACCTGTGAAGATGTCGTGGGAGACTGAGGAGCGGAGCTACATTTTGGCAGCTCGTCGTTCTCAGTTTTGTTTGAAGGGAAAAACTGTGTCCTTGGCAAAGGAACTGGTTTTGGCTGCAGATAGAGAGGGGGGGGGGCGTCACTCAAACACTTACATGAATTTAAATACTGAAGCTGCTTGGAGTATCTAAGAACGCATTCTGTAACATAATACGTTTTGCCAATCACAAGACTTTATAAGGAAAGTACTAATTCACGCTACAATTTGTGATTTAAAATTTCAGTTGCATAAATTAAACGTAACAGAAACCAAATTCCAGCCAAACTATCAGGACGACGATCTAGCCTTAAAGATTAGATTTACTACATAACAGAAAAAAAGAGTTTCAAAGCAACAGTTTGTAGATTCTTATCAGATTTATTTTTGATAAAACATTCTTAACTTGCATTCCTAATCTGAACACCCGCACATACTTCAGTTTCATCAAGGGGATTCAACCTGATGAGATTGAATTCAAGACAACTGAACTGTTCAATGAACTTGCTGAACACGCCAGACACAAATGTCTTTGTTGTTGGCACACTCGTCTTACTTCCTGCTTTCACTTTTGCTTTGAACAAAAACCTTCATTGCCCTTTTATTAATACCTTTGCAACTGACGGTAATTAGATTCTCTCCAGACGTGTTTCAAGACATCAAAAAGCAATCTGCTCAGAATAATTACTGTGTCTGATTTTCACAGATAAATTCAATTTCAATTCAATTTTTAATCTTCCCCTTCATTGAAAAATACAGAATCTAATATGCAAATATTTTCAATTCAAAGGTTTAACCTCTGGACACACGATGTCTCCCACTTCACTTCAAGTTTCCTCACCACACTTGTTTTAATTGCAGAATTTGCTCCAAACTAGTTGTGATACTTTTGCCTATTTTAGAGATTTTGGACTCTTCACATTTTTACTTCCATCGTCTCGATTCAAAAAGTAACATTTCCCTAGATCAACTAGTTGCAATTAAAACAATTTCCAGCAACTATAATAACTGTTATTATTTTACACGGGAGCTGTTGTTTACTAAGGTGTTTTCAGCCAGTATTCTCCACTAAGGGTGCTAGTGAGAAGGCTCACAGTTGCATAAGCTGCATTTTGGATTTTGGATCATGATTTGCTCTAAACTACTTGTGATGTAAAAAATAAATAATTAAATAAAAACACCTCTAAATACTTCTTAAACTGAGATTTAAGATGACACAGAAACTTTCCTGCACAGTGATGCACATACGTCATTCTGCACAGTTCAAACATCCAAGTGAAATCACTAAAAAGCTACATAACACAAGAACAGAGAAATTATGATAAAAGCAACTCTTTAAATATGCATTCACCCAAATTTGTTCAAAAGCACTTTTTGAAAACAGCAATGCAGCTTCAAACTTGCTTAAAAACTAAGTTACACATGATTTAATTATCTAACTTCTTACCTTTGGCATTGTGTAACTTTCTCCGTTGTATCCGAGTCGTTCTGCACTTACTGCCCTCACTGTCATTTTCACCATCAACTTATAAATGCAGATCCCAAAGTCTTAACAGGTTAGACCTGAACACGATAAGCATCTTAGGACTGAACTGGTTCATTCATTGCTATTCAACCATGTGCATTGTTGTTGTAAGGTTTAAACACCCGTTAAGGATTCTGCTGCTGCTGGAATGAACAAAATCTTCAAAGTCAAATACATGTCCATCAGATTACACAGCTGACTGCGACATGACACGCATAGCCACACAGTGAATGTGCTCATCTCTTAGTGGGAGATGACTTTTTGCAACACCAACCAGCAGTGAGGGTTAACGGAATCATTTTTTAACTTAAAACTTAATCCTGTCTTAACGTACAGAACTGAGTGTTTATGGTGTTGATTTGAGTTGAGCACGTTTCTCTAGAATCCTGTGAGCTCTGATCATGGCTACACTTATATAAATTCATCCATTTTGTGCATGAAGATGTATTGCTGTTACACCCTGAATGAAAATAACAGTCAACCTGTGATTCTCGATTTTGAAAAAATATGACGTGTTTAAATTTCTGCTCAATACTAAAACCTAGATTAAAGTGTCACTGTCGTATGCCTCTAGAAACCAGTCAAGATGCAGTTAGGGCTTACATCCATGTCTGTCCAGTCTCATAAACAGCCATGACAGTAGACAATCATTAAACTATGGATGCTTCACACACACCTTCAACCCGGCAGCAAAGATGATCAATACAATCATCACGGTTTTAAGGTGAGCACCCGAGATTAGTGTCACCAATTCAGTATCTGACCAAATGTCTCCTCTTCTGTTCCAGAGTTACAACGTTAAATAACGGCCAGAAAAATGTTTTGGCTGAATATTACGATGTCACAGTGAATCTGACCTTTGACCTTTTGGATATAAAATGTCATCATCACAGACTTATGTGTGAAACTTTGTCATAATTAGCAGATGAATTCTTAAGTTATGACCAAAAACATGTTTTGTTATGTCACAGTGACCAGTGGCGTGCACAGACTTTTTGAAGGGCAGGGGCAAAAAGAAAAAAAGGGCACTTTAGCGCGAATTTTGGCTCCCAGGAGGGCACTTTAGCACGCGTTTTGGCTGCCAGGAGGGCACTTTAGCACGCGTTTTGGCTGCCAGGAGGGCACTTTAGCGTGCGTTTTGGCTGCCAAGAGGGCACTTTAGCGCACGTTTTGGCTCCCAAGAGGGCACTTTAGCGCGCGTTCTGGCTCCCAAGAGGGCACTTTAGCGCGCGTTTTGGCTGCCAGGAGGGCACTTTAGCGCGCGTTCTGGCTCCCAAGAGGGCACTTTAGCGCGCGTTCTGGCTCCCAAGAGGGCACTTTAACGTGCGTTTTGGCTGCCAAGCGGGCACTTTAGCGCGCGTTTTGGCTCCCAGGAGGGCACTTTAGTGCACTTTTTGGCTCCCAAGAGGGCACTTTAGCGCGCATTTTGGCTCCCAAGAGGGCACTTTAGCGCGAATTTTGGCTCCCAGGAGGGCACTTCAGCGTGCGTTTTGGCTCCCAAGAGGGCACTTTAGCGCGCGTTTTGGCTCCCAGGAGGGCACTTCAGCGAGCGTTTTGGCTCCCAAGAGGGCACTTTAGCGCAGTCATTCTTGAGTCCAGGTGGACCAAATTTGAAAAACTCATATCTCAAAAACTATGAGTTGGGGGCAGCAGGAGCTCAGTCCATATAGGGACTTGGGTTGGGAACTGGAGGGTCGCCTGTTCAAGTCCCCGTCCAGACCAAATATGGAGCGTAGACTTGTGGCTGGAGAGGTGTCAGTTCACCTCCTGGGCACTGCTGAGGTGCCCTTGAGCAAGGCACCAAACCCCCCCAACCGCTTGGGGCACCTGACCAAGGCAGTCCCCTCACTCTGACATCTCTCCACTTAGTGCATGTATAGGTTTGTGCATGTGTGTTCGGACCTGTGTTTTTCAACAACAGTGAAAAAACTGAATTTATATTCAATATATTCAAATAAAGAATATGAGATATTGCGTTCACGAGAATGGGACGGACGGACAACATGAAAACATGAAGCCTCCCAGCTCTCACCGGTGTGGAGACATAAGAAAAGTCTTAATTCAATTAAAGTCTAATAAAACTGGTCTATCCTGACAAACCTCCTGAACAACATGGATAAGAACCACAATACAACTTAATTATAATTATGCAGAAGTTGTAAACAAAAAAAACATTTTATTGTGTCTGAATCTTTTCCTGTCAAATCTAATGTAGGTTACATTTTCAATAATATGAGGTAATGCTAGGGCTGGGCAATAAAACGACATTATATCCATATGGTGATGTGTCACTACATATTGTCTTAGATTTCTTTTTCATCACAAGTGTTGTCTTTTCCTGGTTTTAAAGGCCACATTACAGTAAAGTGATGTAATTTACTGAGCTCACCACACTGTTTGCCCACTTAGTCATTATATCCACATTACTGATGACCATTTATCAAAACTCTCATTGTGTAATTATTTTGTGAAAGCAGCAGTAGTCAGCGCCACAATATCATCATGACACATATTTTCAGAATCACATATTGGAGTGAAACAATCATATGACCCTGTATGTGACTCCATGTGTCTGCAGTAATAACACTAGCACAGATTCAAAACATTTCTCCCCAAAGATCTGTTGTTCCACTGTTGACACCTGTGAACTGTAATCTGGTCCGGGAATCCACTTGGATCCACAAAACGCAGCCCTGGTGTTTCCACCGTGGCTGCAGTGTCTTTGTGTTTCGGTACACTTTATTTCTTCTCCTCCACAGTCCTGCCAAAATATTCCTTCTGGAACTGCTGGAACTCATCCTCAGTGAACAAAGACTGCGGCTCCTTGGCCTTCTTGGCAGGCGTCTCCGGGCGATTCCTGGACTGTCTCCCTGTATTGTGGCTCAGGATCTGAGTGAGACAGAGAGCGAGTCAGCACTGTGTGACGAAGTATGACAGCAGACACAGGTTTATGTAGTTTAAGACTTTTGACAAACTGGTAAATTTTTCAATGTCAGTAAAGAAAAAAAATTCAGATTTCTGTCAGACATGGTGAGATCCGTCATTAATTGTACTTAAAGAAGAACGCTAGTATTTTTCAACCTGAACCCTATTTCCGCATGTTTTTGTTTTGTATATCCCTTTTCTGCCAAAATAAACATCTATATTCAGGATTTTTAAACACGGTAAAACCCGATAAAAATAGGTGACAGACTCCTGAACACAGCTCTGTGGCACACAAGTATGCCTCTGTGTGTGTGTGTGTGTTATTTTCCCCCTGGTGTGTCACATTCAACGTCACAGACAGGCTGGAAAACAGGTTAGTAAACAGCAGAAAGCATCATGAAGGCCAGTGAAAATGATACTGTGGTTACTACTTTTTTTATTTTCTGTTAGTTATTCAGTCTCGAACTCAAACTCGGTGCTGTCTAATTTGGAATGTTTTTTGAGCGCTGCTTGGACAGAGACGGACGCTATTTTGTGGTCCAGTATTGATCGAAAATGCTGCAGCCAACAGCTGCATAACAGGCTGCAATGCAACCACTCCAGGCTGATGTGCCCCTTTAATTTACATCCAGTAAAAGTGCTTGTTTTTGCCACTAACAGGCTCGGACTGTTATCACGAGTGTCTTACATCAATATGGAAAGGACCCTACAGAGAGGTTTTCCCAGTGCCTTTCACTTGCTCTGTTCTGTTTTGTGTCCAAGTCTCGCTAAAAGCAGAAGTCTCATTTTGAAACCCTGCAGACTTTTTCACATCGTCCAAATCAGCTAAATCTTCAGCTTCAGAACTCAAAGTCTTTCAGATAAGACTAAAATACGCTTCCTGTACTCCAACACAACAAACTATTTATGGCACTGCTCTCTCCAACTCTCACATGTGCTTTCACTGTTTTCGTCCTGCAACAAGTCGCCTCTCATTAGAATTCAGAACAAGACTTTTAGTGAGACTTGGACAAAAAACAGACCAGAACAAGAAAAGGGTATGGAAAAAATGTTTCAGTTCTCTGTAGGCTCTTTCTGTAATGCTTTAAGACATCATTCAGTAACAATCTAACTCTGTTACTGTTCGTTCAAAACAGAAGCTTCCAAAGAGGCAAAGTCTCTCGAGGACGCCCAAGAAGCACAACTGTCAAAAATATTTGTGTCAGCTTTGGTTGCTCTAGTTGCTCATCACGTGAATCATTGCACGTTCGATCATGTTTGTCAATTTAAAGGAGCCGCAAAGCAGACTACTGGCTTGAAAGCAGCGTAGTTGCTGCTTGCTGTTGTCCAGTCAAAAAGCTCATAGTTGGCCTACAGAAAGTTAAGTTTGGTCAATGAAAACAGAAAACTGTTTTGTCATCCCATTCAAACCAAGCAAGGAAGACTTGCATGCTACGTCTCAACATTAGCCTGCAATTCTCTCCTCTATTACTAACATTACACACTTTAAAACTCACCAGGCCAACCAACTACGTCCGCGACGCGGTCCCAAGCCTCATCCTTTTTATTTTGGTCTCTGTAACTGAACAGCGACACATTATAAAGGACTGAGTGGGCGCGAACGCAAGTAATCAACTTCTCGATATCCACTGTCAGAACAAGTGTGCTGTAGGAACCAAAGTTACATGGCTTGTTCTCTGGGACCCTCTTCATCGGAGCACGTCAGCATTCCGATTGGTTGTCGCCAAACCGCGTCAGAGCTCATTACCAAAAAGTTAAATGAGTTTTAACTCCCCTCCGGCTGACGACCAGGTCGCCCAAGTCACCGGGCTCACATTGAAAAATGAATGACTTCCGCCGTTTTGGAAGCTTTGGTCGCTGTTGGTTTGAACATACAGTTAGTCACAAAAACTTTTGATGGACATAAGTTGACAGGGATAGGCCCTATCAACTTACGTCCATCAAAGGTTTTTATGACTAACTGTACGTTCAAACCAACAGCGACCGAGCTGTTACATTGCAGCCTGTTTCACCGCTGCCGTCTGCAGCTGTCTCCCTCTATACTGGATCAAAAACTGTTGTTCTTATTTGTCACTTCGACATAAACACATGGAGAAAACAGTCTAGGTTGAAAAATACCAGACAATTCGATATAAACATTTCAATAATTTAAAAGCAAATTACTGATCATAAAGTAAAGAGGAGTCGATGATCGCTGTAATAAGTGAGTGATGTTTGCCTTTCTTACCTTCAAAGTGTCAGAATCTGCTGCTTTGTAGCCAGTTTCCATAAAGTACTTGAGATTAGCGCTCATCTGACTCTTCCTCTGCTTCTTCCTGAACTCCTCTTCAAAGAAAATACCAAAGAAAGAGTTTAAAACAAAACACACACCAGAGACATACTCATACTGCAACTACATTAACTACGAATACTGGTGAGATAGTCACATTATGGCACATAAAAGAGATTCTGATTGTGAGAACAGTTATTTAGATTACAGATTTTATTTATCCAATTACAGGTTGCTAGCTGTCTAACAGAGCCATCTAGTGGTTCTAACGTAAACTTAACAGAAAGTAAGACTATCGACATACAATCTACATAAGGACGATCAGTTTTATGTTGTTTCATGTTGTGTTTCCCATTCAATGCAAAAAACATCCTAAACACAAGTTACCACTCGTCTATTCCAATGATTTTGGACACTATGATAAATATCACACTGACTTGGCACACAAGTTAAATAATTAAGCTCACAAAATTAAACTGAGCTGCACATTGCTGAAATAACAAATGTAATTTGGATGTATTTTCCTCTGAGCACTGATGCTGTGCAGGACTATGAGCTGACTGACCCACTGCAGACTTGATTCTCTTGTCTTTGACTGTAGCTTTGCTCTTGCCAGGACCCAGGCGACCCTGCAGCCGTTTGACCTGCTTGGTGACACCCTGTCGTTTCGTGTCCAC